CACAAAGACTTGCTAAAAAGGCAGTCAAATATTTGGAGACAGCTGACAGATATTCCAGATGAGAACTGACAGCTGGTCATATGATAATTATTTTCTTGATTTACAGAACATAATTTTCAAATATTTTTTATGATTGAAATAAATAAAAATTACTATTATCACTTAAGGAAAAGAACTAAGGATACTGGCTGCAACTTTTGATGATGGTTGCTACCATCTTTGTGTCATATAAAACGATTGCAACCACTGGTTGCAACCACCTTTACAACCATTTTGTTTCCTTTTTTGGATTGCGACATGGAACACTAAAAAGAACAGATAACAAATGGAGGTTTTAATAAACACATTACTAAATTTTAATCCCTGAAAATTTTTGGTAATACCAATATTCACTTTGTCTGGTTTTGTTGCAGCATGCCCCATATAATATCAATGTTGTTTTTATATACTAATTAATTGATTAATTAATTACATAAATAAATAAATAAATAAATAAATAAATAAATAAATAAATAAATAAATGATGAATGATTAATGATGAATTATGAATGATGAATGATGAATGATGAATGATGAATAATGATGAATGAATGAATCAATCTAATAATCTAATAGCTAGTAATCTTGATCTTTGCTAAAGACTAATAAATGTCATATGTATCACTTCTATTCCTTGTAAAAATAATTTACAGATCAAATTTTTTCTTGTAAACTATTTTTTTCTCATCCACCAATTAGAATCATTGGTCTGTTTTTTGTTCTAGCCAATTCAAGTGTGCCAGAATGCTGTTTTTTTTTATTTTTAACAGCCACTCCAATAATTTCCAATAGCTCTTGATCAGAAACATTTTGTCGTAATAAATCCCGAAGGTTTACTTCTGCATTCCCAAACAAACAAACCTTCAAATTGCCATCAGCAGTAATTCTTAATCGATTGCATGTTCCACAAAAATGATCTGACATGGAAGTAATAAATCCAAATTTTCCAGTAAATCCAGGTATACAATATGCCTTACAATTATCAAAGCAAAAAATAACCCATTAGGTTAATAATTGGCAAAATGAATGAATGACAATTTTCATTAAACCTTTTTTTTTAAAGCAAACCTTTGAAGTATCATTTAAATCATCAGATAACCTTTGAATATTATGATATTTGGTTTGAATATTTTCCAATAGCTCTTTATATGGCACAAATTTTTTCTTATTCCACTTGTTATCTTTTAATTAGAATAAATAAATATGATTTATTAGCAATTTCTTGTATTTGAAACAAAACTTATGTGTGTGTATATTGTCTTACCATCAAATGGCATATATTCAATGAATCTTACATAAATAGGCTTATTTCGTGTCAATTCTATAAAATCTAATACTTCATTTTCATTTGTTCCTCTTATAACCACAAAATTGATTTTTAAAGGCTTAAGACCCAATTCGATAGCTTGATCAATTGTTTCCAAAACTCTTTCAAGGCCTTGATTTTTTTAAATTAAAAATTAATTTTTTTCCCTAATTAAGATACAACTCCTTTATATATATAATATTTGTTTACCTTTTCTACGTGTGATCAATTGAAATTTAAATGGATCTAAAGTATCTAAACTAAGATTTAATAGATTCAATCCATTATCAACAAGTTTGGGCAGTTTCCGTTTCAATGCTATTCCATTAGAAGTCATAGCAATTGTCTGTAAGCCATGTGATTTTAATCTTCCCAATTCACCTGAGTATGTGTATGTATATATGTGTGAAAACATGTATATAAGTTTAAATATAAATAAAACAAACAAAAATATTTCATACCAACTAATTCAACAATGTCACTTCTTATAGTAGGTTCACCACCTGTAAGTCTAATCTTATTAACACCTTGGGATATAAATATCTTTGCGATTCGTATGATTTCCTCGGTAGTTAGAAGTTTATTGGAAGGTGTGAGGTCAACACCATCAGTTGGCATACAATAAGTACCTATTACCAAAAAAAAAAAAAAGTAAATTGAACAATTATAATGGATTATTAATCAAAAAAAAATATCTTACATCTTAAATTGCATCGTTCTGTTATTGAAATTCGAAGATATGTGTGCCTTCGTTCAAAATTATCAGTCAATGAGTTGCTAAAAGGTCGATTTTTATCAATTTCCGCAATTTTTGCCTTTACAATAAATGTAAAATGTCTATTTTATTATTATAATTAAATAAATAACAAGAATCTTTTATTAGAAAAAAGCTTGTAATATAAATACTTGTATACGAAGTTTGGAATTTTGAATGTGTGTATGTGTAGAATTTTCAGTCTGTTGTTGTATAGTAGTAGTAATAGTAGTAAATTTTTTAAAAAATTTAATATTATTTGAATTCAGATTTTTAGTATAAAAGTTTGAAAAAAAGTGACGTTTCATATTTCTAAAGAAATTTTCTTTCGATCATTATTTTATTTGTAAAAAAAAACCTCTATTTGTATGGTGGGCTCTTCGTAGATTTTTCCAATATAAACAAAGCATAGTAACACTGTTGCAGATCAAATGTGACAAAATCGATCGTTGATCTTTTTTATGTTCTATTTCAATGGAAAAAAAGGAAAAGTAAACTTGTGTAGCAAATATTAATATATTTTTTCTGGATGAAAGCATTCATTATTTTTGTCTTTACTGTTTGGTTAAGATCATTCAGATCATTGCTAGATCAAAAAGTTAGATATGGACTGTAGTTTGGAGTAAAGACTACACGTATGCACATAATTTATTTGAATTTAATTTTATTTGAAATTTACCAATCTTTAATTAAATCAAAAGCATTTTTTAAAATCTAAAGCTATTATTTGTTCTTCACTTATATCTTCTCCACTTTTTCATCTCCTGTTATGTGGGATTCTTCTACTTCATTCAAGGGACCAGTCAAATTTTCCTTTTATTTATGTAAGAAGATATGTTGGAAACTACACCTTTATAAAATTTCAAGCAATAGGTACATGAATAATTGTGGAACTTGTTTCAGCAGGTGAAATAAAGCCACATTCACATTATTGAGTATAAAGATGGCTCTGCAACTAGGAAGTTGAAACCCAAAAAAAATATTGACATCTAATGCTGCAACTGCTGTAAGTCTGAAACTGTCTGCAACCATCTGCAACCGTCTATAATTGTCTGCAACCTCTGATTGGTCAGCACTATAAAACTAAATTTATTTTTATCAAAAAAAATTTTTTAATTAATGATTTTATTTAAAAACAATAAATCCCATTTTGCAGTTATGTGATTCCATTTTTGATACTAAGTCATCATAATTATAGTTGCAGGCAATTGTAAAGGTTGCAGAGGTTGCATAAAAGGTTGCAACTCGAGATTTAGAACCTGTAGTTGCAGAAAATGTGAAAACAGTTACAGACACCAACTTTAGATGCATCCATATTTTTGGTCATTGTCTAAACGTTTTGACTTTTCCAAATGCATCAGATAAATTTGAAGATGAACAAAGGCATTATGTATGCATCATCATATCTGCTACAATATCTAGAAAATGGTTCAAATAAAATCATAGGTTTTGGTGTATTGATGTAGCATTACCTAAAGAAGGTGATTGGTGACATTCCTGGTGGATTTCTTGAATACTTTTCATTAAGATTGATGTCATGTAGTAGAATCATCAAAGTTGTTTGAAAATGATAGCATATTTAACAATATTTTGAAGTACCAGGAGAAATGTAATGATGACTAATAATACTTATAGTTGCATTTTATAGTTTATATCATGATAAATCAGAACCATCAAATAGTGTTTTAATTCTCTTAGAGAGTTCTTAATGGTCAAAGTGTGTTTACCCTTACTAATTGTTGCTCTAAAAGCCTTAGCAATAACAAAATAATAAGTCCTGAAAATGAACATAAAATTATATATAGGGTTATAGTATATGAATCTGGATTTCTTTATTTTCTTTGCTATTATATTCCCACAACAGGTAGGATCAGGAAAAAGAACTACCCTGCTGTTACTCTTTTCTGCTTGTTCAAAAGAGATTTGTCTGTGCATTCATTTGCAGTAAGAATGAAACTGTGAGTGAGCTGATCAAAGCAGAAAATAGTAATAGTTTTACTAGTATTGGCCCTAATCAACTTAAACTCTGGAATGTTAAATTCACAACAATTGTCATGACAAATTGGCTAGTCTCACTCTCCAAGACCATGATGAGCCTTTAGCAACAAAAAAATTGGAAATTACTTTACTGAAAACCTGTCAAAGACACATTCACGTAATTGTTTGCCACCAGCACACTAGCCAAAAAGGGACAGAAAATTGGCAATATTAAGTATATCAACAATAGGGTCTTAAAGAATTTAGTTTTAGTCACCTTCTGACATGGCTTGCAGTACTCAAAAGTAGTGTAAAAGAGCATATAATGCATCTGATTGTTTCATAGTTTTTCTGTTTATAGTTCAATATTTTAAAAAACTACAAAGTGAACATAAAATGTATACATGTACATGAAGAATAAAAGTAATTGATATAATAATATGAAAAAGTAATTGATTTTTGAAAATATTATTGATGATGGTGATGATGATTACAATGGTAATAATATTATTATTAAGAGTTGAAATAGAATTTCTATGGCACTAGATTGTGATAAACACTTGTAAGAAGGGTAGCAACAGCATCAGGCAGGCATACTGACTGAGTTTTTTAGGCTAGAGGATAATATTTTATTTATGATATATATGAAAGTTTTATTATTAAACATTCAATATGGTTATACAATCATGATGTGATTTTATTTAACTATTTCTACTACCTCTACTACTACCTCTACTACCTAAGATTATATCTTTGTATCAACTCGAATTCCATATTCTCTTCCCTACAAAAATCCATGTATTTCCAGATCCCGTGACCACAGTATATTCAAATTTTGCAATGATCTTCAAGCCAACAAAAATTAATTTGTGATAATCTTGTATAAATAATAAATATTAACAATTACTTTTGCAAGTGGTAAAAATGTCTTCTTCTACAATGGAAATTGATAAACCTTTGAAACGTTCAGGTGGAATTTCTATGGATGAATTGGGTAAATGTTTATTTTTATGAGGATAACAAAAAACATTAAATAATGACAATCAATAATGTAAATAAAATAGGTGATGAATCAATGAATTATGAATTATCCGAGTCGTCAAAAAAAGCTCGTGACGAGCATCAGGCAATATTAGATGAATTTGAAAGACAAAAGCGAGCAAGAACATTAGCGGTGCCTACTGATGATGGTCGTGTAAGAGCAAAACTTAAAGAACTTGGTGAGCCTCAATGTTTATTTGGTGAAGGTGTAAGTAAGTTTCCTTTAAGTATATGAATTAACTTGTTGATTAATAACTTTGTTGTTCGATTAAAGGATTAAATGATTGAAGAATTTATTATGTGATTAATCAAATTTCATATTAATTATTATGTAAATATATTTTTATGAGTAAATTTAGCCTGGTGATAGACGAGATCGTTTACGATATCTATTATCTAAAATGGAAGGAACAAAGGTAATCACAGAGGGAGAATCAGAATCGGAATCGGAATCAGAAGAAGAGGTATATATATAGTTTAATAGAAAGAGATTCTTTTGTTGATAATTTGAATATTTACAAAACAACATACTTAGCTCATGTTTGTAAAATCAAGAAAGAAGAAGAGTTTTTCACACCAGGATCAATAGAACTGTTAAATGCTAGACGTTGGATAGCACATTATTCTTTACCAAAGTAAATAATTTATTTATTTTTTAAAAGAATATGGATTATTGATTATAATAATTGTGGTTGTGTGGTAATTTTATGTTTAGAGCTAAAGATCGGCTGAAAAGACAAAGGATTGAAAGTGAATTACCAATACCTCAATTAAAATCAGTTAGAAAAGAATTATTTTCAGGGATAAAGGTATGATAATTACCATATATACCAATTTATGATATTTTCTTGATACATAGATTACTTTTA